AAGTAGACCAAACGGGAAAGTAGACCAAACGGGAAAGTAGACCAAACAGGAAAAGTAGACCAAAGAGAAAAGTACACGAAATGAGAAATAGACGAATTGGGAAAAACAAGTGAACCGATCGGGAAATTAGACGAATAGAGAAAGTGAACCAATCAGGAAAGTAGACCAATTGCACCGAAGTGGTACATTCGACCAAAAAATTGGCCCGAAAAATACCATAACTTCAGTTATGATAAATAATTTTGTAATATGAAACACAAAAGATAATTTAATTTTCAAGTTTATTATTTAAATTATGACATCTTAATGCAGAAAATAATTGTTTATTTCACTTTAGTGTCATCATTAACTTAAAAAAGAAAATATTTTTGTTTGAAAATATTAATGATTTTGTTGTTTACAATTTGATTTATAACCTTATTGATCGCTCAGAAAAATAAATTGTTTAATTTCCTGTGAACTTTTAAATAAATATAAGCGAAAAATTGTGCGTTTTGCAGCATTAACATTAGTTACATGATAATTTACGTGTTTTTTTATTTCTTCCTCCTGTTTCTAGGTATTAGGAATTCGGCCGAATAGCAAAAAAACAGACCGAATAAGCCGAATACCGAATAATTCGTTGCAACTCTAAATAAATTACCTTACTATACGCATAGGCCAATAACTCAAGAGGACTGCTAATTACGATAAAAGACAGCGTAATCGGATATTTAGTAACTACCTATTGGTACACTAGATGTCGCGACGAGTACCAAATAGCTATTTTTGTAATTAATTTGTTGTACTTGACAAGCTGCAATTTATCAAAGCTACTCGTATTTCTAGAGATAACAAAGAAATCAACTAGATGGCGCTTTTTGCACAGATTGTTGGATGGATGGATACCGCCGGCTATTTGTTATTTTCTTTAGGATTAGTGCCATCTACTCATATTAGGGAGTGTTAAAAGTAACACGCACTGCCAACTATTGACACGCATATTTGTCAAATATTTTCTGACAATAATTTTAGCTCATGATCAATATTTGAATAATTTAACCAGGAAAAAACTGACCTTTTACATTTAATGTAAAGATTTAATTGATATCCACGGCCATTTACATAATATAAACTACTTCCAGACTATTGATCAGCCCCATCTAAATATAAGACCGAGTTTTGACCTTTATCAGTGTTGTCTTTTGCGTTATTGGTCTATGCTATACAACTACTTTAAAAAAGCTAATAAGATAAATATCATTTTTAATTATCATTAGCAGAGATCGGAATAAACAATTATTTACTTAAATTTGAAGTAATAAATATAGAGTGGATGATAATTCCCTCTTTGAAATCCCAAAAATATTACACAAACACAAAGGTAAAAAATTAAAACAAAATAGTTATACTTTTAAAACTTTTCTTCTAAGTACACTACTGTGGTAATGAATTTTGGCAGTTACACATCAAAAACATAATAATACAAAGGTTGATTTTCTTTTCACGTCGATCGGCGCTGACGGCGCGAGCTAGTCAGGGCCGTCCGATCAGCTTGAGTCCTTTTAGTGTCGTGCTGATCACCGCGAAGTACAAACGCAAACAATGCCTAGCACAATGTTAGTGAAAAACATTTTCGTCTTCGAAATTAAATTCCATTTTCGTCAGCGCTCTTGTGAGACGACGATGTCACCCCAGGCATTGTTGCGCGCATCTCTGTTTATGTATACAGAAGCGTCCCATAAGCATTTTCTTCTGCGCCCTTCGTAGATCACATGTCCGGTGTCCATTCGCGACTACTCATAATTGTACTCGTAGAAGCGTACGACGTACGTAAGACCAACGTAATAGGATCCAATTATTTCCTCCAGGGTCACAGTTTGACCAGAGTTAATAAAATAAGAGATTTGGGTGTCATACATGATAGCAAGGTAATTTTTGAGGATCATGTCAATCATATTGCTAGTATTCAAAGATTTAAAATCTTTGAAGGCAATTAAAGTCTATATTGCACCTTCGTGCGAAGTCATCTCGAGTACGCGTCTCACGTGTGGAATCCGCAATATGGTATTTATATTGATAGGATAAAGTCGATACAGAAACGATTTCTGCGTTTTCTTGACTTTAGGGCCAAACAAAAGTCGCTTAGTTATGAGCATCGATGTAAGCGATACCACTTCTTGCCACTGTTAATGCGTCGGGAAATAAATGATATCTGTCTCTTATCTAAATTGGCAAATGGTAAAATTGACTGTCCGGAATTGCTGTCCATGATTGGTCTTCGTGCTAACGCACTGGCTTTACGGCAGCGCCCTCTGCTTCACTTACCAAATGTCCGCACAAATTACAGGCAAAATACATTCATGGTACGTAGCTGTAAAACCTTTAACAAGTATAGCACTGATAATGACTTTGATTTATTTACGTCTAGCACTACATCTATAAAGAGAACTGTGGGTTTGAATTATTTTAAAAGGCAATAACTAGTAAATATTTTAGATTTGGCGGGTATGCTCAAATTATAAGTAGGTATATAAGTCTTATTATGTTGAATATATGTATGTATTAAATGGTATAGTTGGATATGTATATATTTATGTTATTAATATTATTATTGGACTTAAACTAAATTAAACTGAAGTGTATATGTGTATGTAGGATTAGCAATTAGTGTTAACATATGTTTTGTATATAGATTTTCATATGTGGAGGCTTAGAATAATAACGCATAGAAACCTAGCCCGCACACGCTAAGTGAGGCAAGTTAGAGGGTTCCAAACGCGTCCCAGGAGCGCGCGGGCTGTTAGTGCTCAAGGTCATATTGCACCGCGAACAGCTCCAAAATTTTTTGCTAAAAATGACGAAATGTGCGGTAAATGGGTGTAAAAATACAACAGACAAACAAAATAGACACTAACATCGCATTCCACAAGTAAGTAATGCGTTTCAACTCATATTTTTATGTAAATATTCACTAAAACAGAAAAATAATTTCGCGGCAACAAGATACGAAAGTGTTGCAAAGTAACGAATTTTTTTTCTCCCCATTTTGCTATTCTGTATCAAAATAATTATATTACGTAAATTTTAGTGGTGCCTGTAATTTAGATTTATTTGCGCATCTTGAACTAATATTTACTTTAATAAACATTAAATGTTTTCGTTAACTCCTGTAAGTGATTGGGACACTTAATTATTTTATAATACTTTTAACGGCTCTGCGTTCATGCTTTATTGAATAATTATTTATTTTAATTTTATTTGAATTGGAGCACATATTGCAACAAATTTACAGTACTTATATATTTGTTTCTACTATAGTGTTGGCACCACCAGTACAACTTTGATAGCTTATTATATGTCTTTCTTTTCGTAACTCAAGCGAAATATTTTATATTAAAATATTTTATTTTCTTAAAAGGGGAGCATTCTTAAGCGATTTTTTAATCTATTTTAACAGTTATTTTCTTTAATGTTTGCTTATGGCATTTTCGGTTTTAGGTTTCGAATATGGCACTTATTTCTAAATCCAAGATGCGGGCGCGATTTTTCGAATAATGGCAAGTTGGGTATCGTTTTCGAGATGTTTGGGAATGTTCAATACAAATATGGCACTCATTTCTAAATCCAAGATGGCAAACACGACAGTTCAAACAAAAGCAATATTCGTAATGAGCACCCCCAAATACCTCGAAAACGATACCCACATAGCATTTTTTTGAAAAAATCGTGCCCGCCATCTTGGATTTAGAAATGAGTGCCACATTCGTAATGAGCACCCCCAAGTACCTCGAAAATGATACCCATATTGCATTTATTTGAAAACTCGTGTCCGCCATCTTGGATTTAGAAATGAGTGCCATATTCGTAATGAGCATCCCCAAATACCTCGAAAAGGACACCCATATAGCATATTTTGAAAAATCGTGTCCGCCATCTTGGATTTACAAATAAGTGCTATATTCGTTTTTCATCGACAAAACCGAGCACATCTGTAGGCACCTGATCGACAATGTCGGGCAAATCTGTAGGCACCTTTAAATTAATGATGAGTTAAGCAAGATACAATTTCCCCACTTTTGAGGGAAATGTTATTCCATGGCATCATTATTTGTATATTTGTGTGCGTGCCGACGAGCGTAGTTACAAGTTGCTTACGCCTACATGAATTTGGTTTTTGCCTCACTTGTGACAGTTCGTTTGATATGAAACTATCATTCTATGCGTTATTATTCTAAGTGTGGAGGTTTTTAATAGGCTTATAAGTTTACATTTAGTTTATAAATTAATATTAAAGAATGCTGTAAACCTTCCTAAGAATGAATAAATAAATAAATAAAAAGCGCGGAGCGAAAACGTCCATTGGCTTTGGAGGCGCATCCGCGACGCGTATATCATATCAGCGAGCATATCACCGTCATTCAGAAACACTTCATAGTAATACAAACATCTTGACCTATTAGCGCCGATGGTGCGTATAAGAAAACCAGACTAATACCGGGATTTCAAATAGAGGTATTATTCACTCTATCATCGGCTACATTTGAAAACCTCGTAACTCCGTTTTTCACGACATCTGTTTTTCACTCTTTAAGCGCAATATCGGGCAATTAAAGTTTAAAATATAATTTGTACACCTTCTTTTAATTGTAAATTAATGGTGTAATCAAAGATTGTTACATAATTATTTCTAAATTAACGGATGCCATGTATATAACATCCTTTAAATTTCAGTTTATTCCAATCTCTATTTATTAGTGTTAAAAAAGTTTGTGGCAACTTACTGAAATACTGGACAGGCGTGGATCTTTTCGTATAACACCTTCACAGGCTGTAGCGGTATGCGCCGTGAGAAAGTATAGATCTCCTGACACATGATGCGGTAAAATACGGACCACACGGTTTGGAGGTCACCACCGCTGTCCAGGAATATCGCGCCGGCAAGTGACTCGAATATGTCGCTTAGAATCTGTATACAATACCACCAAGGATAAAACAAAGGCTTAAAAATAAACAAGAAAAAATTCATCGACCCGGTGGGATCACCGTTGACGTCCACGTTCCGTCGTCCCACCGAGTCAATGATAAGTTAGCCGATTCCTTATTGCTGTGTGTGAATACTTTAAAATGAGTTCCTAAAAGTATTTGAAATTTTTTTGGTAAATTGACCGTCTCTGAATCCCTTTACAGTAAAGGGCCCGCAACGTCGGTTTGTTTGAAAAAACAAATATACGCGATTTAAATCCGGAAAAATAGTTTCAATTCATATATGTAACAATCTCGAAAACCCAAGAACTCGATAAATTGGAATATCTTCACTCAAACGTAGATATGAATTAAGCTGCCTAGGCACGTTTATAAGTGTTATTGAATGGATAGACTACGGTAAGCGTAAACTAGTCCGAATACGAAACAATACAATACCTTGGGCACTTCGACGTATTCAGAGATCTGGCAGTCTTCCTCGTCAATGAGATATAATACCTCTTCGATGATGTTATGGTTTCTGCGTTCTTGGTGCTCGACAAAGGCGATTATTGCCTTCTCAAGAGATGGGTTTAATTGGTAGCAGAAGTATCTAAAATTAGTAGAATAATTTTATTTAATGAAATTTCTGTTGTGGAAAGTGGAAACAACGATGGTACCACAAACACCTGGCTCTGGACCCGACACAACATACAAAAATTAGTTTTCTACATTGACCCAGCCGGGGATCGAACCCGGGACCTCAGAGAAGATGACACCATGACTACCAGCGGTTCGCTTAGTGGTACGATGGGTACCGCGGGTGAAAATCGGTGTGTAAGCCACTGGACTACTTAGGTCATCAAATAATGTGTAAATATTTCAATGGTTATATTTACTATATTAGTAGGAATTCTTGTTTTTTAATCATAGTAACACAGAAGGGTTCCTGCCCAGTGTACGTCTTGTTTAAATAATTCTTGTAAAGATTTCTTAACTCTACAACAATCTTTTTAGCATAATATTCAAAATATAAACCCATGATAACATGTTAACGTCATTTATTATATCTAGAAGATAGAATTTCTAATAACAGTTTCACAATAACGCATGTCATACAGCCAAACATACATGCTTGTTAGTTTTCATACTTTTACAATAGCTAGTCTTCCTACATGTCTGCTATACCTATTGGCATGAATTTAACTTCATACTACGCCACGAAGGACCGCTAACTGTACTTACTTGTGCAATCCCAACTTGACGACATACGAAGCAAAAGTGACATTATTCACCAAAGCTGATCTTAAGTTGGTCAGTTCACCTGGATTCAAGTCACCGCTAGACTCAAATATGTGAGTGGTGATTAGGAAATCCAAAATGGCGTCGCCTAAGAATTCCAATCGCTCATACGAGCGTGTGATACGGTTGCGAATGTACGAAGAGTGGGATATCGCCTAGAACAGAAATTAACGGTAACCTATCACAAAGTCGAAATTTTTTTTGTCAGAAATAACGTTTGTTCGAATTTTCATTACACCGAAAACCGAATTATAACGAACCAGTTGTTCTTTTAGGACATGTTGAATGTTTATCGCAAAGGCACGATATGTTCTGTTAGGTTAGGTTAAGGGGTACGGGTACGCTGTTGCACTCGTCCGCGCCCCCACCAGTGGCTGGCCGCACCCTGCGCAGCTCCTCCCCGAGAAGGGAGACATATCGGTCCCCAGATTCTGAATGTGATATGCCCTCTATGCTGGGCGTTCGTTTGGAGGATAGGACGAGCTGCAACGACACACCGTACCACCTACAGCGGACAGGAGGAACACTCCGGGGGTTTAGTGCGGTCGAGCTTCCTTCGCGTGGCTTCCTTCGCGTGCGTTCCTTCTTAGTGCGGTCCCTTCAGAGTCCAGCCCAGTCCCACATAACCACGGCTCTGCCCCCATGGGCCCGGGGTATCTGTAAGCAGATTCCCCCGGATTAACAACAAAAAAAAATGTTTAAAAGAAATAGCATTTTCCTCTTAAAATTACTTTCGAGGTTATGAAATTTCGACCAAACGTTATTTCTGGCAAATGTCATTTTGGACTACTGATACGTAACCGAAATTAATGCATATGTTAAAAAAATGTCATTCCCAAAGTTTTGTTTTTCTGATAAACCACGTTCCAATTTTTTCTATTTTGCATAGACCCTGCCTTTACAATACGGATTTTTTTATTTCACCAACTTCAAATGTGTTTTTGGTAGCTGACACAGTGCTACTCACTTGAATAAGTTTAACTGTATATAGTGAGACACTACACTACGGGTCGTATTCTAGAACTCTATTCAATGCTCAAGCATTGAGTAGAGTTCTAGAATACGACCCTACGTGTCTCACTATACACCCCCCTGACCCCCTGGTCGTTCGTTTTTCGTCCGACATCAGTCCAAATCCAAAGACAATATCAAGTATGAAGTTTCATTCGCATTACGTGTCTTTTAATTTGATCAAGTATTATTTATTAGACATTCAATTGTTTCGGACGGAATTGTTCCGAATGAAACATTGGTTTATTTGAAAAAAAAAATATATATATATATATACGTGATTATACCGAAAACATTTTTTTCATCATCATCGTTAGTTTCATTTCTTACATCGTTTCTCAGCAAAAATAACGCATTAATACCTATTATTGGTAGTTGCAACACATTCTCTGCTCCATTTTGGTGGATCCTAGATTGTATGCAAAAGCAATTAATGATACATGTCGTTTGTATTCACTTACTTCCAACATATAAGATGGATCCTTGAACTTGTAGCCCATGATCCTCTCGATATCTTCGCAGTAATAGTTCATGATGCGATTGATTTCGTCCGCAGAAACTTTCTTTTCCGTCATCACCGTCGGAACGCGCAAATTGAGGAGACGGGTAAAGTTGTCCTGGATTTATATTTAATGATGCAATAGGATTTTTTAGTTTTTAATGTGTTAACATACAACTTCATCTAACTTATGGATTTTTTTTATATTTCTTGTGCTTTGAAATATTCTGAAGTTCAAAGTATTGATGTTAAAGTGAAAATAAATCATTTTTAACTTTATTAACGACTTAGAAAATAAAGTACGTAGTTAAGTTTACTTTTATAGGACATAGTGTTCCTTTTTTGAAGATTGGCACTTAAAGAGTCTATATTTCCTCAGCGCGAATTCAAATTTTAGAATTCAATTTTACTATATATTTTTTCGAAAGTGATTGATTCAACACTTTTACTGTTATGCGGAATCAAGCAAAGCCATTTGTGGTAGTATAGACACTTAAGTCTCACTTTTTAATTGTTTTCATTTTAATAGTTATTTTACGTATAAATTATTTACACAAGAATGATAAGTCAATACAGATCTAAACTGACTATGGCGTCTCTTCGAATACAAGTGGTTACGGAATTATAATAAAAACAATGTTTATTTAAATTACTGATTTTTATAAAATAATAGTGACGTCTATTCAGACGTCGAATCACTATTTACCTCAGGAGGTAAAATTTTGAACCATTCTAGCACCTTGACAGCGGCTTTAATGCCGTCGCTCAGGAGATATGTACCCACGAGCGCTTCCACGCAGTCAGCAACGGACTGAAATGAAACGACCACAAAATACACATGTAGGACATTTAGTTACGTTATTAATTAACAGGTATTCGTTACTTGCAACGAAATTGAGTTTGGCCAAGGCACTCGGACTTATACACAAGCCTCGGACTGGAATCTATACATACATATATAGGGCGTCCTAGTGCTATGCCACACGGTGGGAAAGTACCTTAAATACCGTAGATAGAAAATTTTACTAAAAGAAGACTTAATTATGATTTTAAAAACAATTCGAACTGCATTCAAAGATTTTTAAATAATCGCCTGTCTGAACCAGGAATTCAACCCGCCAAATGTGAAAAAAAACCTGTAATTTTACTATACAGATCGAAAGCCTCAATCATAAGGATTGTGTTCTTCTAAAATAACATGGCATCTAAAATAAAAGGAAAACCATGAAATTAAATATTTAATTTGAAATTTTGTTCAGGAAATGAAGAGCCTTTTCTCTCCACGCTCATAACAATTTATTTTAATTAAATGCAGAATTTCATTGTCTTCCTTTTATTTAAGATGCTACGTTATTTAGAAGAAAACAATCCTTATGATTGAGGCTTTGGATCAGTATAGTAAAATTACGCGCCTTTTCACATTTGGTGGTTTCGATTCCCGGTTCAGACAAGCGACTGTTTAAAAATCTTTGAATGCAGTCACATCGTTTTTAAAATCGAAATGAAGTCTCTTCTTTCAGTATAATTTTCTATATACGGTAATTAAGGTAATTTCCCTCTGTGGGATAGCCTGTATATTCACTTTTGAAGCTTACCAGGACCTGGTACCTTGTCTCATAGCCACATGTATCCATTATTATCAGTATAACAAACAAATCGTGAAAACATCGAAATTCCCAAAAATGGAGTTAAGGTCCTTGATTTCCCACAACAGAATTTAGATTAATGTTTAGCTGGACACAATGAAATTACACGTATTTTGTTACATGTAAACTACACAACAGGTATTTGCACAAATAAAATTAAGAACTGGGAATTACAGAGCTAATGGGTAACTTATCTTACCTTGTCGGACACAGCTTGAGCTCGCACATAACACTGCATAGAGATTTGTGCACCGCCAATAGGTTCAACTTCCGCAGTACCATTTTCTTCCTGATATCGTTCGTGAACCGGTTTCATGCTTTTACTTGAGATTTGTCCATTTAAAACTTCATCTATAGGAAACTCGATCGGAATGAGGAATGTTGGACGAATCTGAAAGTAGGTTTGTTTTTTTGTAAGCTTGATTTGAGTGGTACCTACTGCTGCCTAGTAGGCACTGAAGAGTCCTTGGCCGAAAGGGGCCTCGGAAGCAATTGGGGGCGTCGATGCTGTCCAGGGAGTGCTACCGCATTTGAAAAAACAAACCTTGAATTATCTATATAAACTACACTATATATATTTATCCTGGTGTACCAAAACTCAACGATAACCTGGGAACAGGATGTTGCCTAGTTTGTAACAACCCAGGAAAAAAAAAATTACAAAATCGGAGTCTTGTTTTTTTCTGTACACCATTTTTAAGTATTACAATTACCAATTTGGTAATTTTGCTGTTCTAGTTTTTGTAACGGTAACCTAAATAGCCTAGCTAATGAACACAATGCCAAAGGAACCGAATTGCTAAAGTTTCAGCACAAAAAAATAATGTATTTGATTTTTTTTCTTGAAATTATTAGCAGTCTTTTTTTTTTTCAAGGTAACTTTGACACCCCAAACTGTAAAAAATATGTACCTAGACTACCATGGCAACTCCTTATAAAAGTTGGCGCAACTAATCAAGATTCTAAAATGGTATAAAACCTTCTACGTCATGCTTCTTGGAAAAAAATTATCTTGGTTTTTGTAAAAAAAAGGCCAATTTAAAAAGGTTACCTTTTCTAAGTGATAATGGCTTTCAGTGCCTCTAAGGTTAATTTAGGTTTCGTATCCATGTAGTCGGAGTTAGACTGACTGGTAAAAATGGTAAGCATGATTGAGTGGCGCAAACAGTCTCAAAATTCCACATTTCTCGACAGATATAGGAATTTAAATAAAAGTAATGAATAAATTATTATAATTTTATTACAGACTACAGCAAGCGCTCAAACTGTTTTTCATCCCATTTTTTGTGTTAAGTTAATATAAAAAATACGTGTTTTAAATTATTTTTTGTGGTAGTGGGCATTGAAATTTTTTTATCTTGTCTAAGTGGGCGGTGCGCCAAAAAAATTTGGGAACCTATGCTATGCTAGACCAATATAGCAGGATAAAAGCAGGTGAACTCACCAGCTCGCATTTTTATAAATTATATTAAATATTTGGTTATCATTCATTGGTATTCGGGATCTAAAAACGTTGTACTTTGTGTTTCTTTCGCGTTGTCTTTGATTCTGTATTATTATTTGTTTGTATTGTTATGTTATATTGACAATAAATTACCTTCTTTTGTTCAATGAATTTCTGTACTTCCTTTGGTGCGAAGAAGGCAGGTACGAGAAAATCTTTTTTGGGACTGAACTGTTCCACCTTCATACGTCCACCTAAACGTGCTTTCGCACCCGCATAGTAGAGATTTCTGAAATTCGTCATTCGAGCTCTAAGAACATGTAACGGTAGGTTTTTTTACTATTAAATGGTAGCGTTGGTTTCGACTTCCGGCATCAAGATGGCAGTTGTAAGTATAAAGTTTTTTTAAATTAATTCCGCCAGAATTAGTGTAACGTATAAGAGTATAAATCCACCAAATTATTTATAAAATGAGTGTATCGTCTTTGCAATTAATCAATGTAAATGACAGTTAGGTTACTGGTGGTAGCGTTTCACAGAAGCAGGTAATTTGGAGACACACTTCCAAGCCTCTTGGCAAAAATAATGGGTGCAGTTCATTCGATGTAACAACAAATTACATACTTTTGGTCGAAATAATGCTCAATGGATATGATTAATTTATGGCGTAACGACAATTGACATATTCTTGCATGATACGAATATCAATGGGTTTAATAACCGATTGATATACTTACAATCTAATATACCTATGGTACTTATAATGTTCATTTCATATAAACATTTCAGATCTACTCGTAACATTCATTGAGTATATCATTAAGTAATTTAGAATACAAACAAATGGCAATACTTATACCATTAATAAATTCTTTATGTTAGTTAATCATTATATCTAATGTTTATTATACTGAAAGTGCATTATACACAATTAAATTACACCTTTTGTTGTTATACCACTTATTAATTACATCCCAGTAGTGATCATATCTTTTGAAATTATATCAAATATCGTTATACTAGGTGAAAATAAATCCGCAAATAATCCCAAAAATAATATGTGCTACTGGTCTTCTCGGTTTCGCCTTGGTAGAAACTGGTTCTACTTTATTTATACTTGCCTGTTGCCTATAAGTCGGCTCTTGATGTTAGTCAGCTGTCCCTCATTCAGCATCCCGAATTTATGGTACAAATAGAGACTCGCTGCAAACTTCAAGAATGAATCTCCGAGGGTTTCCACACGTTCCAAATTGAAGGTATCGTGTGAATTGATGGCGGTGAGAGCTTTTACTATATCTCGTAGTTCTGGACCGCGGTGCGATGGTTGCTTTGATAGGATCGCTATTTTGCTCACTAATCTGTAAAAATGCACTCAACTATAGGAAACAAAGCAATTTGCATTACCTGTTTTTATGAGGTATTTATATACTTTCCATAATACCGTAACCACAAACACTATTGCCCAAATTTGGTTCGGCTGAGAATCGAACCCAGCATGTGTAGCTTTAAAGCTATCAGAATGAATAATCCCGGAATCACCGTAGTCGACAAATATCGCTGAACAATATTGTCAGATAAAAGCATTGACATAGAAGATAATAATGTACCATTTTTCCTAAGAAATAAGACAATTTACGACATCCGCCTCCTGTGTCAAAATAAACGCACACTATACTGAACGCAAACTAGGATGACCACTGTGGCACTTATTTATATGGATGGGGCGCAGTCGATCGATTTTTGGTGTATGTGATTTTTGGAGCAAAAGGTTCTCTCTTGTAGTTTTATTTGTGTGACGTATTCTGAACGATGTTTTGTATTATTTTGAAGGCACAAAACACAACTATTATTTAAATGCAATTTTAATAGCTGTTTTAGTACATTTCTAAAAAATATTATCACAATTACGATTAGATATGAATTAAGAAATTTGTAGGTTTAAAAAAAGTAATAACACAGACATGTCAATTCATTGCCTATAATTAAAATTCCTACTTCAAAAATGAATACACGTACTAAACTCTGAGATGAAATCAAAGTCAAAAAATGTAAACAAAGGTGAGGCCATTACAAAAAATGTTCCACGAATAGTGGAACAGTGAAAAGGGCTAAAAATTAATGCTAGATGTTGTATATTGTTTTAAGATGGTGTGCATGTACAAACAAAATATTATCAAATCACATTTTTTATTTAAAACACCATATTTAATAATATAATCTCAAAAAACTGTTTCTCGTGGAAAGATGTTTTATCCTCTTGGCAATATTTCGGGAATGAACAACCTTTGGCTGTTTATTCGATTTTTTATATTAATTTGTTATGTATAAACACAAATACTTGTAAGTAAAGTGTGAATTAATTGCTACAATACTTATTACTTTAATAATTTATTAAATGAAAGATTTTTTTATTGAGAATAATAGAATTAAAATAATAAATTGGATAATTGTTAATTAGTGTTAATTATAATGAACTGAAAAATGAAAAGTCAGTCTTTGGTTGATAGGGATGGATAACGGGTCAAGTCGTCGGGTTGCATCCCCACCTGTGTATCACCGCGATTTTCTTTATTCTGACGGCTGTCGTTACCGAATGTGTTCCTTGCTGTGTATGCGTCGTGTTGTTGAGTTTTTGTTTTTAATTGTTGAGTTTTCGTTTGGTGTTATATTTTTGTTACGTTTTGGTTTTACTCTGTTGTTACGTTCGTGTTTGCTTGCATTCGTGTGAACATAACTACAATGGAGGCTGAACCATGTCCTTCAATAAAAAAAATACTCTTTCGCCGCAGAATAAAACACCACTATATTTATGACACAAAATGTTTCTAAACAGTTTTGTGGATTGTTCAACCCCAAAAGGGTATTATTCAATTATAAGTTATTAGTCAGAATACAGTGGAACCTGTTAATAAACGAACGTGGAAAATAAAGTTTATGGTCTATGAGATGTCGCTTTGACAGTGACAGTTGTTTGTTTACATTTTTTGACTTCGACTACATCTCAGAGTTTTTCAGACATTTTTTCATTAAATTATCGAAAACTTTTTATCGATATACCTCATCTCTAGCAAAAGCAGTGCAATGAAGCAAATGAATAACTTTTGCACGTTGTCGTAAAAGACTAATCAATTTATGAAAAAAATGTATTGTCGCTTATTTCTCATAAATAAACATTGATTTGGTGGTATTTTTACTTTAATGTATTTACTTAAACAAAACCTACTCATTAAAAACCAAGCCTTAAAAAAATTTATTATGAAATACGTAAATTAGTGCACGTCGTTACAAAGCACACAAAATAATCAAATACCTATAAGAAGTCAGAAAATACATTTGCCGGAAATAACGTTAGCTCGAATTTTCATAATATCAAATGTATTTTTTTTAGAAAGATTACAAAACAAAAGCTAATTTTGTCATTAAAATTACTCGAAAGCGTAACGATTTTATTATAAATCAGTTTTCGGAATTACGAATATTTGAGTCATCGAGTATATAACCGAAATAGAGACGAAATGTCATTTAATTTGTTTGAAAACTATTCTGCCATATCATTACTGTGACAACTGTGCTCCGATTGGCCAGCCCGAGTTCGAAACAATATGCTATAATGGACGAAAATTGCAAAATTACATATTTAATTACCGATGAAATGTGATTCCGTTTGTTTTATAATTAGATGTTTTGCCGTTTTTCCCACACCACCGAATAGAACAGCACGGCATTGTTAGAGATATTATCTTTATTACAATAAATACAGAACATTTTTTGGAATATTCTCCGTATATTACACACACAGGTAAATAGTTGGCCTATCTATATTTCAGTGCAAACGAGAGTTGATATTTACAAGAGCTGTATCGCTAATGTGTTACCAGGAATATATAGCCCTTATTTCGTCTCTGTTTCTGGTTATATACTCGATAATTTGAGTTTAAGTTTAGTTGGAATATCGGTACAATTATATTATTATAATATTATATAGTGCACGCTTATTTTCATATTTGTAGTAATATTTGTATGTATGTATCTGCCCAACTCGTTATTATATCTTTAAGTGAATTTGTACAAAATTCGACACAATAATATATATAAAAATTAATTAATATTTACGATAAAGGCTACTCCATTACTCTTGTGTTCAAGTAATTTTCAATCGAAGCTAAATAATATAGTGCATTTTGTTAAGTTTCCAGTAGAAGCTGAATATGGTGTTTTTGGGCCCTTAAATTGTGCAAGCAAAATTAGGCAGAACTACAATGATGTTACAATTTAAATTAAATGTTTTAGTTTTTTATATTTCGTTACATGTCACTACGTTTGTATAGGTTAACTTCGGACATTTTTTCGTGGTTTTTTATTAAACTCGACGTTCATTTATTGGTAGGTCAATGCGTTACAAAGTTATATTTTGAAGATTTTTATGAACTGTAACAGGGATCATCCTAACTATTTTTAGTAAAATACCCAAATTTCACGCATGATACAAAAATTAAAAATAAAAGTAGAATTTCACTCGGCAATCTGTTATAACGGTTCGGTGTGTAACGGTAACACCGTTGGCAATGCTAAAATTGCATCTTTTGTTTTACTGATAAATAAAATTCAATACTTTGCTACTTTTATTTTTATTATAATTCCATAATTTTCGATTTACTCTTTTTATTTTTCTTTCTATTTAAAATAAATAAGAAATATACTATAATAAATTCATAATTATAGTTAACCTACACAAAACGAATACAATTTATAAATAATTATAATATTTATTTTCATGTGCAGACAGACAAAACGTTTTATAAACGTTTTTTTGGATGGTGCAATGTGGCAAGCAAATTTACCATTTCCACGTTTTGTCTTGATATTTTATATTTTTAAACGACATAAATAGTATATTACTGCAGAGGCCGGGAAGTAAGTGATTGCATTTACTTTAATGTAAGCTTATTATAATATTACTTATATTCGTACCATGACAAACTTATCAACCAAATAATGTATTATTGCTAAAGTGACTGAAAGAACGAATGATTTTCCAATATTGTCTATACCTTACTAAAAATAGGAAAGAAATAACGCTATATTATGAACTGTATAATGCCATCTCTTTCTTTTTTGATGTTCCAATTGTCCTATCGTAGTAAAATGTTAAAATACTTAATATTATTTATATTGAGAGAACTTCAACTGCCAAAAAAAGGAAAGGATGTAATAATGAAATCTATTAAAATTACGTTGTTTACGTAAAATTAAAACAGTTGTGTACATGAAGAAAAAATAAATAAAATAAACGAGTCTTGATTATCACGTTGTGAATTCGAAATTATAGTCTAGTGTCAACTGTTAGTGTCGCTAAGGAGCTTATAGATGGCATTGTCATAATTTTACGAAATAAATATTATTTTTATTAAACGAAAAATTATTTCCTATGTACTATTAAATAAAAAAATAAACAATATATTGGACAGATATTTGTAGATAAATAAGTTCAACTTAAGTTTGAATCATTACAAATCAACATTTAGACAATAAATTAGAAAATAATATTGTTTCCATTGCATACGTATATCTATTTTAAGATTGCTAAATTTGACATAAGAACAATATTACTTTAATGTTAAGTCGCGTCATAGCTGAGCTGAGTGAATGAATAGTCACAAAGCTGCCAATAAAACATCATAGTTGTAACATTATAATAAGCTTACTTTAAGCACGTCATGGTACGAAAAGTCAATGTAAGGTTAAAGTATTATTTGTTTTAAGACGTTGTGGTCGGCCCCCTGGACAAGTGAGTTACAAGGCCGAGCGCCAGCGAAGCTGTCATCCTGTTAGTTCAACTTTTTCGATTCTCCATGAAAGTTTCATAAGTTTTCATGATCTTACTTTGCTCATAGCCAGCAACAAGTTTTCCATCGCTAATATTGCATCTTGCTTTCAATTAGGTGGAGTACAGTACTTTATATATTATTCCAGTCCATTATATAGTATTTTCGTTATCGCTCGTCTCACTCGCTTTCACGACGAAAATACAAAAAAGAGGAAAAAACAGAAAACAATACCAAAGTACTTTATTTTACCGCCGTTTTGTTTTTTTTTTTTAAGTAAGCGGTACACGTAGGTATTTTTAATTCTCGCAATTACTAACACTACATTTTCTGACCGGATTTTATAAAAATAAATCGATTCTCATGTATATACTAGAGATGGATGGAAGTCGATATATCGCACATTTTCTGACGCGTATAAGTAGTGAGTAGACAGGTTTGGGCGCGCGTTTAGTGTGCAAATCCATAGAAGATAGGTCTAATAATCGACTAAGACTATGTCACAATGGGGCACTAACAGTATGGTACCATACAAAAAAACAATATGTTTTTTAAATATTGCAATGGGATCTCTCGATTGGCATTTTTTTAGACAGGTATCGTGAAAAAAATCCAATGTCCGCAATATCGCTGATCCGACCCACTGTGTCGCAAAGTTAAGATAAATATAGTGTACCTGTCTGTGCCCAATTACGTCAATTTTTAATGTACATAAGTGATTTCCCGAATCCCGAACTGGTCCGGACCTAAAAAATATTGTCATAAGGCAGTCTCGATTTTCTATCTTTGTTCCTCGAAGTTTAGGTAAAAAAACTACCTATTCCGATCCCTGCTTATTACAAAGAAAAAATTAAGTTAGCGTAAGTTTGGTTTGTAATATTCCTAAATTAACCTAAAAAAATACATTTGGAATTACAAAAATTATTCGAGCAAACATTATTTCGGGCAAATGTATTTTGAGACTTCTGATTGATAACTCCAAACACTAAAACGAATACAGCAATTTTTTGTTAGTTATTTATTACTAACATTTAATAAAAAGTCATTTTAAAAATAAGATTAACATTAAATCAATTCTTTAGTTTCTTTGTTATAAATCCAAACATTTCAATCGCTTGTGGTTCGAAAATTGAAATTGACGTAACGAGTTTCTTTCTGTCTATTGTGCATGTCTTGTGTAGGATAAAGACAGAGTTAGCTATTTGGTTATTTTGATTGCTTTTATAAAGTATGTGCACTGTATTTATGTACTCGTATGGTACTTTTTGTTTTTCTTTTTTCTTACTATACGACATGATTTATGATTATTTATATTAAACAATTACAATTAATTTTAAATATTTATAATTTATTACATTGTTATTTAATATACAATACGACAGAGAAATTAATTTGAATAAACTTCGTTACATAATCTGTCGATAAAAATAGGAGCTAAAAGAGTCAGGGATACTTGTAATTCCATAACAAGTGCGCGGGTTTGTGACCCCGGCTCCCCGGGCTACTACCGTCTCTAATCTCCTATTTTCCTTCCGAGACAGTAGTAACCTATACCTAAATTTCCTCTCCCAATATCCATTTTCTCCTTCCCCCCTGACCACATCCTTTACCAATCCTATTTTATTTTCTTCCCCTCCGCCAATCTACGGTTGCCGTGCCTATGGATGCGTGGCTAGGGGCATGCCTAGTCGAAAGCGTGTCACAAACCCTGGGACCGAGCGAACCCAGAAATAGGTTAGCTTTACCCTGGCAAGCGGGGCACTGCCAGGATGGACATATATTTTTCCCCAGCTTCTCGTGGGACTGCAATGGTTAATTTGTTAAATAGCAACCAAAATGGCGGCGATGTGGTTCGCCACCCGTCTCGTCTTGGTTTCCGCGGGGGTGGAAAGTGGACAGCAGAAAGCCACTTTGCTACTTTGAATGTTAGAGGAGGGATGAATGATAAAATAGAAGTATGTAAGATGATGAATGAAAGAAGAATTGATGTTCTTTGTGTGAACGAGACGAAGAGAAAAGGATGCGATACGACGACGCATGGATCATACACAGCGTACTGGTCAGGAGTGCCCGAAACCAGCAGAGGGTGCCAAGGTGTTGGCGTATTTTTTTCTTCTAGAATCAATGAATGTGTTCTTGAGTTTGAGTGTGTAAGCCCTAGACTCCTATGGGTGAGGTTGAAAGTTGGCCTGACTCACATCTTTATTTTAGGGGTTTATGCTCCGACAGATACGGGTTCAAAGCAGATCACCAAAGCCCAAATAGAAAGAGAGGAATTTTGGGACAGTGTAAGAGAGGATTTGAATAAAAGTCAACAAAATGAAAGGATTATCATGTTAGGAGATTTCAATGGATGGGTAGGAGTGAAGCGTGATGGACATGAAAATGTGCTTGGAACGTTTGGAGATGAAAGAGTGAACGATAATGGAAAGTGTCTGCTCGAAGTATGTTAGGAGTCGAATCTTTTAGTGACAAACACCATGTTTCAACACAAAAAGATCCACATGTATACAAGAGCAGAAGAAGTTTGAGGAGTATGATAGATTTTGTAATAGTGGATGAAAGATTAGGAAAAAAGGTGCTTGACACGCGAGCATACCGCGGAGTTGGTATCGACACCGACCACTTTCTGGTGGTTAGCCGAATAGGTGGTCTTTTTACAAGGTGGCGGCATCGAGTGAAGGAACCTGTGTGCTAGAACGAATAAAAGTTGAGAATTTGCAGAAGACAGATGTGAAAAATGAATATGTGAGTAAACTGATAGAAAGGTTTGATGGACTAGACGAAGTATGTAGGATTGAAGATTTATGGAAGCTATTTAAGGAAGGAATGGTAGAGGTCGCTACTGATATGTGTGGAGTATCCAAAAGGAAAAAAGGGCTGAAGAAGAGGAATGTTTGTTTGAATGAAGATGTCCGTAATGTTCTGTCTGATAAGAAGAAAGCGTGGTTAGATTGGTTATCTATGAAAGCTAATGAAAGAATACAAAAGGCAATGAAAGAGGATGTAAACGAAGCAAGGAAAGAGTATAAAAGAATAAAAGATGTAGCGAAAGATGTTGTGGGAAGGAAGAAAGAGTGCCAGAAAGACGAGTTTGACAGGAGATTATCTGATGACTTTCAGGGTCGTATTTCAGAACTGTACTCAATGCTCAAGTCAGGACTTGAGTATTGCAGTGAGCACTGAAAATCATACTTAAGTCCTTGCCATTAGGGTCGTATTTCCAGTGCTTGAAATCATACTCAAGTGTGCTTAAGTCCCGATTTGAGCATTGAGTAGAGTTCTGGAATACGACCCTGAAAGCAACATTAAGTGGTTTTGGAAGTCCTTAAGAACAGCTAAAGGCAAAACCACAACCTCGCAACTGCAAAAAATCAGAGGCCACGATGGCACTATAGTGAAAGGAGAAGAATGCGTATGAAAGAGATGGAAGGAGTATTTTGAAAGTTTGTTTGAAAAGGAAGATGTACAAATGCAGGCTCAGATCGCCATAGAGACGAGCGGAAGTCAAAATGAAAGTATAAGCATGGAAGAGATTATAAGGGCATTGAATACTATGAAATCTGGTAAAGCTACGGGATATGACAGAATTACTGTTCAAATGCTGAGGGCTGGACAGGGTGTGATCGCTAGTCAGCTGTACCGCCTTTTCAACCTTTGTTGGTCAAGCGGCCGAGTGCCAGGAGACTGGGGCAAGGCTGTCATCATACCATTATATAAGGGAAAAGGGTCGCAGCAAGACTGCAAAAATTACCGCGGAATCAGTCTTCTTAGCATTGTCGGCAAATTATAGGCAAAGGTAATGATTGAGAGAGTGATGAAAGAAACGGAAGAAAAAATTTGGGACGTGCAAGCGGGATTTAGAAGAGGAATGGGATGCATGGATCAGGTCTTCTCCTTGCGAAACATAACCGAAAAGTTCTTGGCTAAAAGACAAAAAGTCTATTGCGCTTTTATAGACTTGGAGAAGGCCTACGACAGAGTGTCAAGGAAAGAATTGTGGTCGGCTTTGCCTATGTATATATTGGGGTGGACGGCAGTCTAGTTCAGGCACTGAAATCTCTCTATGAGGGTTCCAGTGCCTGTGTCAGAATAAACGGTGCTTACACTGACTGGTTCGATATCGGGAAAGGTGTTAGACAGGGATGTGCAGCGTCGCCATGGCTGTTCAACGTAATTATGGACAATTGTTTGAAAGTTTTGAAAGAGAGTACGTGTGGGCTGAGAATGAATGGTTTACTCATTAAGTGCCTCCTATACGCCGATGACCAGGTGGTATTAACGTCGTCAGTGGAGGAGTTGCAGGAGATGGTAAATATTATGCATGGTGCTCTTGAAAGGAAAGTAATGAAAATTAATGTGGGATAGACAAAGGTAATGGTTTTTGAAAGAGAGGAAGATATGACGATTTGCACTATACTGATTGACGGAGAGAAAGTGGATCAAGTGAAAGAGTTTGTGTATTTGGTTTCTATGTTTACGTGTGATGGAAAATGTGAAAGAGACATTGAAATAAGAGTGTACGGAGGGAATCAGGTGAATGGTGCCTTGCATATCTTCATGGGCAGCCAGAAAGTGTCTAAAAAAGCACGAATGGCTGTGCAATTGGGGGTTCCTACACTTATGTATGGTAGTGAATGTTGGGTTTGGCAGAAGAAGCATGAAAATAGAATTAATGCAGTAGAAATGAGAGCTTTGAGGAGTATGGCTGGAGTGACTCGGATGGATAAATTACGGAACAGTGTGATAAGAGAGCGTTGCGGCGTGGAAGAAGATATAGTGACAAAGATAGAGAAAGGGATGCTTAGATGTATGTATTGTGTATGGAATGTAATTCCACCCTTGGCTAGACTCTTACTTACTTACTCTTAGAGACTTTTTTGAAGTAATGCAAACATTTCCGGGCATGTTTGAGAAAAAATAATTTAACTTAAATATAACTTCACTAAAAACGCAAAATTAATTCCACTAGTTGCTGTCAGATAGCACACGAGTAGGTATTGTACTAAATATTATAACTTACTTAATAGGCGATGGCAATATTGCAGTAGAAGGCGGGGGATCTGCCCGCGGAGGAGAGCGCAATGTCGGGTCAGAGATCACCATAGGCGTGGACATGAACTCGTCGTAACACTCAATGTCCATCACAGTCACGGTTGTAATGTTACGATCTATGTCTATCGGTTCAGAATTTTCCTGTACAAAGAAATGTCTCTGAAAACTCAGCCGTGTAGATAACATTCCATTTCTGTTATGTGGCGCTGTCCCTTACAACCATTATAAATCGATTAATTACACAACGTGAGACGTGACACTTTGAATGGAACTTTGTAAATAAGCTTTTTCAGTGAAATTGAAAATTAATGTAATGAAGTCCATTCATGCTAGAAGTATTTTCTTGTATTTTCTTATAGGTAATCGGACTACCTTAAACCAAGTACCAAGTTAACAAAACCCAAAGTTTTCATAATGAAAGCATTTTGAAAAAGCGGCAAGCTAAATAGTGTTTAAAATTCTTGTCAAAATCGTATTAATAAATATTTAGTATTATTATTACTATTTTTAGTTACAATCATTATTGTAATTTGTAAGTTGAAAAATCGAACAACTTTGGAGAAATTTTTCTCCAAAACCACGCAAAAACGACATTCGGAAGTTTTCATCCTGCGTGCGTTTGGAATATTAAAAGCATCACATGTTGAGCGTCACTCGAAATATCAAGTCTGAAAGGATTTTGGTCGCTGGGCGTCCTCAAAGAGTTTCGTAAAATTTCTCGAACATGCAGGTTTTGTCAATATGTTTACCTTTACAGCAATTACTATTTAGTAAACGAGATTACACATCGTATGAAAAGGCGAATCCTCAAAACGTCCATTTCATGTAAAAAGATTACTAATTGTCAATTTTCAAATTCTTCTTCGTGGCATGTCATCTACCGGAGGACGGTTGTTGTGGTTGAAACTATTATTTTATAAAAATTTATTTAGGGAACTTGATATTTTGAGGAATCGATATTATAGAACAAGCTGATGCATGTCGTTGTGAACCTAAACGAATTTTTACAATACTTTCCTACATATCCTTGAAAGTTAAGAGAAAAAGAAACATTTACTTACGTCCCAAGGGTATTCTTCACTGATCTTCTTTAGCTGCAGTTGGTACAGACTTTCCGTCATCGAGACGATGTTCAGTGGACGAGGAAGTGAGTCGTCTATCGGGTTGTTAATCCTGCATAACAATACATAACAATGTCCCATACCAGACATTTAAGTGTTCTATGTAATAATATTAATTATGTTTAAAAGGGTACACTTATCCAGGTACGTTCAGAAAAGATCATGTATTATAACCAATGATCGGGAAAAAGTGTTCCACATACATAGACACATGTATAAATATAGCTACAAAGAATGATATAGAGTTGTAAAAACAACCACATTTTTATTCATTACTTGGCGAATTTCGGATTTCCGGATATGTTTAAGGCAAAACTACTCATCTCGGAAGTCAATTTTGGATTTAAAAGCAATTCTAGTGGTGCCATGTAAAAAAAATGCAGTAGATAACTGACTTTTCATTATAGGAAAGCTGCTAGGCGGAAGAAATAAGTATGGTAGCAGTACTTCACTTAGCTTTAACTACTGCTACTAAAACGATGACGGAGATGCTAACAATGCTAATGCAGCTGATGATGCTTATATATAATGCTGATGCTACAGATGGTGCTGATGATGCTGATGGGGCTGGTAGTGCT